ATAAAGCCCATCTAGTATATTAGTACATTTTTATGGTACATAATGATTACATTCCCTGTGGAGAGTTGGTACATATAAATGACACGTTTCAATTCTTTTTTCATCCCCTTCTCCTCTTCTCCTGTCCTCCCATTTCTTGATACCCTTGAAATTTTCTTCAAGAAGTCTCTCCCTCATCCTACCTCAAAGACAGTGCCCTACAATACTGCTATTTAATCTATAGTTTAGCTTTACATTGAGGTCTTTTCTCTTTAGTCTTATCTTTGTGCAGAGTAATACTTTATTTTTCTCCACACAGTGAGATGATTTCTCAACTCTTATTTGCCAAACAATGTTTTCTTTTCTTGACTGAGTTTTCTGATACTTTGTTATAATTTTGTTCTGTTATGTTACATTTATGGGATGTACATTTCTATCTTAGGTTCATTCTCCCCAGAAACAGACCTTGAGATAAGGATGTGAATGCTGGTAGATCATGTAGGAGAAGATCCCTAAATGAAGCAATGGATAAAGAAGAATGAAGCAGAACAGAGACGACAAAGAACCCAATAAAGGCCATGCTGATTGAGTAGGTGACCACTGTGAGTAAAGGGTTCAGTCTGTCCTCACAACACTAGAAGACAGTGTATCAGAGCCATCCTCGTTGAGGTGAGAGGCAGGTAAAGCATTTACCCATCAACAACATTTGGTCACCAATTGACAACTGCTGCCAATGATGAGGCCACTTCTGGTTGCCCAAGCACATCCAGGATAGATAGATACCTTCTTGCATTTAGAAACTAAGTTTGCAGCACTTTCAGCACCCCTAGGTGGTAAATGCCAAAAGAATGTGTGTGGCCCAGTACTGATGGAAACTGTTGCAGTCTCAGCTTCGTTAGCTCGTTTCTCTTTTTTTATGTTATCTTTGTACCTTTTTTCTTTTTCTTTTTCTTTTTTTTTTTTTATTACTGCAGTGTCATCTTATGTCTTGATAATCTGGTAGGACAAGGTTTCCTACCTTCAACTCTATACTAAAGTGTCTTTAACTTTTTGTAGACCTTCATTTTTTCATATCAATTTCAGTTTAAACTTAGAAATTTCCTTTACAAATCTGAGCAACTATTCAGATTGCATTGATTTATGTAATTTGCACTGATTAATTTAGGGGAGATGTTTCATCAAAAAGACATCTTTCTATATATTCACATCATCATCTATTTCCTTTATTAGAGTTCCATTTTTCACCATAAGTCTATTGTATATTTCTGGCTCCATTAACTAAATATTTATAGTTTGGGTTATCACTGTGAATGAAGCATTGCTATTTCTCATTATCTGCAGGTATCTGGCACCAGCACTTACAAGAATATCAAAACTATGCATGCTGCAGTGTCATATACAATGGTATGGTATTTGCATATAATCTACAGATGCCTTCCTGCATTCTTTAGATCATTGCTACATATCTATAATACCCAATAAAATATAAATATTATGTAAGTAGTTATTATGTTGTTAGTTTTTATAGTGTACTGTTCAGGGAAATGATAAGAAAAAATCTGTATGCTCTTGGGACAGATGCAATTTTACCCTATTTTTATTCCACAATTGATTGGCTCTGCAGATGTGGAATTCATGGATTCAGGACTTTAAACTATTCAATGTTATTTTTTCTTATTGAAAATAAATGTTATAATGGGATGGGGAGATGGCTCAGTAGAATAAGCGCATCCCTGACAAGCACGAGGCTCTGAGTTCAATCCTTGGTTCCGCCAAAAAAAAAAAAAAAGTTATTAATCCTTTTATACTGATTTTATATCAAAAATTGTATGAACTCTCCTTATAGTTCTAATAATTCAAGAACAAGAACTTTATTAATGTAATTCATTATAATTACAGACTAAAGTAGAAAAAAATATTGCTGACTTCAAATTAACACAGTTATAGCATTTGATTAATTTTAAATTTGATTTAGGGCTAATAGAGTTCTTAGGAAGAAAGTAAAAGAAGAGTATTCTTAACTGTGTAAAGCCTAGAAGAAGTTTTTACTTTTAGGATTTTTATAGACACTGTGCAACATAGAACACAGGCTTTGGCCAATGATGTAAAGAAAACTTTTATTTTCGGTGCTTGTCTTGGTTACTTTTCTCTCGTTGCTGGGACAAAACACCTGACACCTAAAATGAAGGAAGGAAAGGTTGAGATCACAGTTAGTGGAGGTTTCAGTCCATACTCAGCTGGCTCCAAGGAAGAGCGGCACATGGCAGAGGGCAGCCGTTCATGGCAGTGAAAATAGCAAAGAGCAAATGGAGGCGCAGAGGCTGTGGTGGCTAGCGAGCCCCTCTCCCTTCGTTATACTGTATTCAGGCTCTCCGCCGCAGGGTGGTGTAGCACTCACACTCATAATCCCAGCACTGGATCACGAATTAATCACAAACTCGAGAAGCCAGCCCCAGTGACTGCATGAAGCTTTGAGGGGACAATTAGACCCAAACCATAAAAGTGCTTATTGTTTTACTACTGAATTTTGTGAGCATCAGATATTTCTCTAAGAATTTATTTCACCTAAGTTTTCAAAACTATTGCCAAATAACTCTTTTTACTTTTTTGGTAACACTTTTACTGATGTACAACCTACGTGCCACATATTGCTCTATTTGAAGTGTGCAATGAAATGTCTTTTAGTGCATTTACAGAGTTGTGCAAGTATCACTAGGGTCAATTACCCATAATACTTTTTGAAAATATTTAAAATCTCTACTTTGCTTGGTTTTTGACCTTCTCTTAGTCTATATCTTATTTATTTTTGTTTTCTTCTGTTTTTTAAAATCAGTCCTTCTAATTAATTCTTACTAACTTTTGAAAGAAAGAAATTATAGTTTTGTTAATATTATTAATTTGTTCTCTAATTTCTCTAATTAAAATTTATTTTTGCCTTTGTTTTTATAATTTACTTCATTAATACTTCTTTTTATTTTCTGTTATTCTTTTTCAGGCAAAAGTTTAATTTCTAAATTTTCTTTTTTGATAAATATATGTGTATGTATGTGTGTATATATGCATATGTATTTATCAATAGAGAAGAAAAACTTAGAACCATGTATATATGCCTATTATGGTTTCTATCTAGATTTCTCTGTAAAACTTCATGTTCTCATAGGTAGGGCTTTTGGGACCAGCACCTGGATCATGGGTGTGTGATACTGGATCAAGGAGATGTGAAACTCGATTAGTTCACTCACTGATGTAGCGTAGTTCTGGCTGTGGATGATGGACTTACTAAAGAAGGGTGTAGGTGGTACCAACCAGTAGGTATGTAGTCTGGATGGAATAAAAAGGGAAAGAAGTGGGCTGGGGATACAGCTCAGTGGCAAAGTGCCTGCCTGGCCAGTGTAAAATCCTGAGTTCAAATCCTGGCTAAAAAAAAAGGAAAAAAGAAAAAGGGAAAGAAGAAGGAAGTCTTGTTTCATCCTGCCGGTAGTTCTGTGAACTGCTTTTTCTCTGCCATGTCTCTGTCATGCCTCTCTGTGTTACAGCCAGCTGCCTGAAACCTCTACAAACTGTGAGCTAAAATAAACCTATCCTCTGTTACTAGGGGATGCCAGGTAATTTGCCCCAGCTTTTAGAAAGTGACTAAGATAGTACATATAAATATATAAGATACATATAAAACATATATTTATATAGACATAAACACATGTATAACATAAATACATTATATAATATATAAATGTTTATATATAGGTATATAAACAATATATATGTATTATATATATTTATTAGAAAAAATTCTTATATACATAGAAGAAAAAGAAAATTATATATACTGAAGGAAGCTTACATATTTTCTCTCCAGCCAATATTTTAGCTGTAGATTACAAATTCTGACTTACAATGTCTTTGTCATTAAATTCTAAGTATTATATAATTTCCTTTTAAATCCAGGGTGATTTGCAAAAATGATATTTATTTTCCAACCAGATGAGATAGTTAAGTTATATGTTTGCTGATAATTCCTTATTTCTCTATCCTTGGAAATCACTTAAATAAATTCTTTTTAATTTATAGAATTTTACTTTCTGTTCACACATGTATCCTATCTTTTAAGCACCCCAACTATATACAAGATGAATGGGCATACTACTTAATGTAAATTTCACAAAATGCTATAGTTGCTTGAATTCTTTAATTATATGATTATGTCTTTGATATATTTATTTATAAGCTATCTGCTTTAACTATCAAATTCTGAGAGAGAGATGTTAAAATCTCTATCACTATTAATTTACTTATTTTTCCCTAAATTTCTTTTTTTTTCTGAATTTCTACCAGATGTTAAATAACTTTTGAGGTTGCATTGATAGGACATATTCATGATGGCTGTATATTCTTGCTTGTATCTTTTTTCAGCATATGAATTTCCTATTTATGTGTCATGATTGTTAGTTTACCTGGATTCTATTTTATCAGATATTAAGACTGCCCTTTCAATTTCCCTTCAGTTCATATTTGCTTGGTAGGTCATTTTCCATCCTTCTATGCTTTTCTTTTGTTGTTATTTTCTATGTCAAGTGTAGCTCTCTCTACATCTTAAAAAAATGGAAAAATACATCTAAGAGACCTTGTTTTTAAAGAGACATATTTTTAGCACATTCACTTTCACTATAATTATTGTACTTGTAGGATGTACTTCTGCTTTCTTACTTTCCTTAACTGTTTCTTTTCATATTTACCTGCTTTATTTTAATAAAATTATAATTCTATTAGAATAGTTGCATAGGCGGGAAGATAGTTCAGTAGAATAAGTGTTTGCCTGGCAAGTGGGAGGGCCTGAGTTCAATCCCCGGTTCCGCCAAAACAAAAAAAATATATAGAATAGTTTTGCCAAAACTATTAGGATTAGTAGTGGCCCAGAGCTACAAATGGGGATGAGGGTTGACTGCTCCATTTATTATTTCATTTACCACAATAATTTGAATAAAGGAGAGTTTCCACCAATTCATGTGAGAAAAATTCTGTACCTTATTCCACAGTTGGAGTTGCTGTTCAGACCATATTCCATAAGGTAATTCTCGAGCACCTAAAAATAAAGATATATTGAGGTTAAATTTTATAATATTTCTTTTTAAATGAAATATCCATATAATTCCTTTTCAGATATTATTTCTCATTTTCACTATATAATTGCCCATCTAATTTGACTAAACATTTCAGCATTTGACTTAATAGAAGAGATAATTATAAAGGAAACCTTAAAATACTACTACTATAAAATACTACTTTTACTAGTGAATTATATACATGTACACTAAATCATATACCTGAATGTTTATAGCACCATTACTTACATGAGCTCTAAAGTAGAAGCAATCCAAATGTCACCGACTAGGGAATAGATAAGCAAATGCAGTACAGCTATATAATGCAATGCCCTCTGGGCACATAAAAAGAAAGAACTAATTAATGATAAATGCCATAACATGACGGACTCCAGAGACATGATGCTAAGTCAAACTGCTTTCATCGGAAACCAGCTACTGCATGATTCCATTTATATAAAATAACCAGACAAGCTCATATCTGATGACGTGAGGATTAGTAGTTGCCCAGAGCTAGAAATGGGGATGGGGGTTGACTGCAGACAGGCATAACTGATCCATCAGAGGTGATGAAAACATTCCAAAAGTGCTTTGTTGTGATAACTGCGCAACTCCTTGAGTGAATTAAAATAGTCCTCAAATGTGTACTTAAAACAGGTGAGTTTTATGATGTATACATTGTATCACAATAAAGACCTTTTTAAAATGAATTACTTGTTAGGAGCTTAACTATTGCTGAAATAAAACTTGTCACCTAGCTTATATCCTCCAAAATACTATTTTCTCTACAGGTTTAGTTTTCTAAATCATACTACTCCAAATTATAATATTCTCCCAATGTTTTCAGCTGTTACTAATATTTAAACATGATTAGTATGTATTATTATGTATATATCTTTACTAAAGCAAGAAAACATCTTTTAGTAAAAGACTATATATTTTTAAAAATATTTAAATGTAGCAAGATTAAACACTTTAAAAATAGGCTTAAAGAAGAGAACTTTCACTGGCCATATATCTCAGTGGTACAGTGCCCACCCAATATGCTCAGGGCCAGGGTTTGGTCTCAAGCACTGAAAAAGTATAGGGAGGAGGATGGGGAAAGAAGGGTGTGAGCAAGGGAGAAAGAACAGCATCTCTTCACACTGAGCAGAACACTTTCTAGGTACCAGATACTATGATAAGCATTTTACATGTATATGTCCATTAGCCCTTTTAAAATAGATATCCTTATTACAATTACTACTTTAATTTTATAGTAAGGAAACTGAAACAAGGAAGGCTGAGAAATTTGCCCCGAGTCCACTATATAGATACACAGAAGAGGCAGATTTCAGACCAAGTATGGTTGACTTCAAATCCTGACAGTTTTTTCCTTTTAATTCCATCATTTTGTAATCATCTTGTCTGGAGTTCTCATATTCTTACCGTTTTTTTAATTTAAGTTCTAGTAATATTAAATAGCAGTAATATATGTGGGAATGAGTATCAGGAATGATGCCCAGAGATCATGCAGCCCACCGTGGAGAGTTGATTCACATAAGACCTGATCAAGTCTCTTTTCAGTGAATGACTGTATACATTTCTGTTGCAAGTCTCTCCCCTTACACAAGCATGTCTTCTAAACTCACTGCTCCCTGAGTGTAAGTCCCACTCAGAGCTCATCCTGTTTTGAGGAAGAGATAAAGCTGTAGTTTTCAAACTTTCATCTAGCACACTTGGAAAACTTACTGTATGAGATTCTGTTTAGAAGGTTAGTTCTGCTTCAAGAATGCAATTTTGTATGCGTATATTCCAGACCAATCTCCTCAGTAACAGTGCAAGGCACTGCCCTTATCAAGGCTGCCTCGCAGTGTGTACTGGGAGTCTCCTTCCTTCCAAGCCCCAAGCTCCAGTCACCTGGAATCTGCCATTCACCTTAATTTAGTCCCCAGCACTTAGGTAAATTTTAAAAAGGGTGCTTTGTCATCCTTCCACAAAACACCTTCCAATAAACAGCCTGTGGGTAAGAATGGTAAGGGAGCCAAAATGTATAGAAAATAACCGATACCTTGTGGTTGAATCAATCCACTGCGAAAGTTATTTTTTCCCTTTGCCTAGTTAATTAGAATTGATGCACTTTTCTTCCCAAGATATGGTACCTTAGTCTGTTTTTCTCATTATTACAACAGAATATCCAAGACTGGATAATTTGTAAAGAAGTTTAGCTTACAGTTTTGGAAGCTGCAAGTCCACAAGTAGGAAGCCCTGCTGACTCAGCCTTGGTTGAGGGGTTCATGGTGGATAGGAACATTGCCTGAGTGATCCCTTAGCATGATCTTGTGGTAAGAGAGGAAGCCAGGGAGCAAAAAAAGAACAATCTTGCTCTTTTTATAACAACTCACTCTCTTGAGACCTAACCAGGGATCCAGGAGTGCTGCCTTAATGCTGCACCAGGGCGGCATGCCCCACGACCTACTAAGCACTTCCTACTAGAAATATATATATATATATATATATATATATATATATATATATATTTAGTACAGGGTATACAGGGTCTCACTATGTAGATTGGACTTGTAGTGATGCTCCCATCTTTCAGTCTCCCAAGTGATGGGATTACAGGTGTGCACCACTATGCCCAGTCTCAGTCACCTTCTCAGCATGCCCCAGGGGTGGGGCTGGCATGGCATGCCGGGGATTGAACCCCCAGCCTCTGTGCTCTGCCTAACCAGGCGCTTTAGTCCACTGAACTATCTGGCCAGCCCTAGAACCATCTCTTAAGAACATGCCACCTCTCCAGATCTTTATGCTGGGGACCAAGATTCCTGCACAGGACAGCTTTGGGAGACAGCCACCAACGTGATAAATGAGAACAGTTTACTCAAGTCATATTATCTCAGATGTGTACTTCATACAGAACTATTAAGAGCAGTACTCAGGTCACTGTCAACATGATGCTCTAACAGTGCCACTATCTGCCACATCATGCAAACTGGACTGTTCTCAATCAGGTTCACCAAAATATTTATACTGCAATATTACCTAGTAAAACATCTGGTTATTCTAAAAGTAGTGCCATTTTTCTTTTCCCTTTGCTAAGTTGGAAAAGACCCTTTAATTTGGCCTTGGCCATTTGATCCCTCACTGGTACAAGCATAATCAAGTAATTGTTGGCTTCGGATATCCTAACTGTGCTCCTCTTTCAGACATTTTCTTCTTTCGGTAATGTTCTCTGAGTAAACTGTTCTCATTTATCAAGTTGGTGGCTGGCTCTTTATCATCTCCTTGCAATCACATATGCTTTGCTAATTCACTTTTTGCTAAGAATGATGCATTTACTGACGCTTCTGCTTTTCTCTGGCTTGTGGCATTTGTGTTGCCTTTAGATACATCCGGTTGCATTTGCATAGTGATTGATCTCCATAGATTAACTCTGAGTTTTGCATATGTATGTGATGTGCCTCCCCCAATGCCATCTTTATGGAGTCAGCACTAAGGCACATCACGCTGTATTATTTACCCTCTCCCCTTCCACCGCATCGGTAGGGAAAATTAGATTTACACTATTAAGAATAGGTCTGAAGGGTGATGAAGACACAAAAGAGCAACCTAGGAACTTTCTAGGTAGCGAAAGGGATATTTCATCCTTTTGCAAGGAAAACACACAGGATATATTTTCTACGAGACAATTAGTCGGCCAGCAGAGATGCTCTTTTGGAAATAAAACCCAAGATTTCTCTATTTTTAAGAAGCAGCTGCTACCTTCCACAGCCCCTGCTCATTTACAGCAGCCTCACCAGGGCTTCCCCAGCCGAGCCCCCACGGATGCCAACAGCATTGCAAGCATACTGCTGTAACACACTTTTTTTTTTTTTTAAACATATCACAGCGCCTTTAAAACGGTAGTTATCTGGTTTCTTAATAGACAACATACAGATTATCATCCCATTTTTTTTCTAATAACAAATTTAAAATAGAGAAGGATGAACATTTGCCTTGCATGAATCATGCTGGTAACTACTGCCTCTGTGGAGAAGGCATAGGTCTGTTAGTTTCTGATTGTAAGGATGACCCTCTCTTCCAATGTCTCAGAAAAGCAAAAACAATGAAATAAGGACAATAAAAATAATTAGATTAAGAATGAAATAAAAGCACTTGTTTCGCGTCTCCCGCTGAGGGCTGGGCTGGGAGGTCTGGAAGGTCTCCGAAGCTGTGATTTTAAGTCCTGGATATTTTGAAAAAAGACTGACCACAGTCTACCCATCTTTACCTCGAGCGGGAAACTAAGAGAACTGGGATCCCCCAGGACTGATGGTTATAGCAAGCTCCCCCCCCCCCAGTACCCAGCAACCAGTAACCTTTAGAGACACAGGGAAGCATCTCCACTCTGGTGCATTAGCACCTTTTCACAGATGTCCCTCTCCGACTCGCTTTTCCTGTTCCTTTCCTCTAAACCAAGCTCAGGAAGTCCCAATTGTTATCGTCCCTGGCTGTGGGTGTACAGCCTGAAAGCCCAGCTTTTGCACGCCTGCTTCTCCAACGTCGCGTGATGAGAACACCTCCAATCCTTTGTCCCACCTGGCGCCTGCGAACCTGTAAGGCACGGAGTTCAGCCCCGCAACCCGCTGGCTGGCGTGGCCGGTTCCCGGGGCTCTCGCTCACCTGCGAGCAGCGCGCAGCCCGCCTACCCCGCCTAGTAAGTGAAATAGCAAACTCTGGCTTTGCGTCGATCACCGATCCCTTCAGTAATTGTATTGAAAAGGAAAACCTTTCTGAGTTTTCTGTTTTAACTCCTGCTACCCGAGGGCGGCGGGCAGGAAATCCCTAGCCCGAGGGTGCTCTGGACCCGGGTCCGGAACGCGCTGCACCCCGGCTCCCTGGCCCTCGCCGCTGGCCAGTCCCTCAGCCAGGGTCAGGGCGACCATCCCGGAGCCCGAGGCGCGGGAGTCCCCGAAGCCGAGCCAGGCGCAGGAAGGGCGCGAGGGGCTGCGGGGCAGCGGGCTCTTACCTCCGCCCGCCGCGGCGCAGCAGGCGAGCAGGAGCAGCAGCGGCAGCAGCGGGGCCGCGCCCACCTGTCCCGGGCTTTGCGGCATCTCGGCGGGCGCTGCGGCTGCTCTGGGCTCCGTGCCGCTGCCCTGGCCGCGTCTCCGCGTCTGCCCGCCGCGCGCCACCAACTTTTAAATCTCCGGCCCGGCTCTGCTGGGGCGGTGCGTCCCTTCGCGCGTCACCACCCGGTCCGGCCCCGCCCGGCAGCCAGCCTGCGCCCCCGGCTGGAGGCTCCCTCGTGGGACACCCACGCCCTCGCTCTGGGACCCCACAAGTGGAACGAAACCAGCCCCGCCCACCCCCACCTCGGGAAAGGTTTGGGTGGCAATAGGAGGGCGAACCACAGGACGCCCCGCTGTCCCAGCTCCTCGGTTTCGCTGTCCCTTGTTCATCCCAGCTCCTGGCACAGTGCCTGGTGCATCCTAGGGCAAAGTCGGCTTCCATGGCGAGGCTGGTGCGATTGCCCGCTCCCCAGATTCCTGTGAAGTCCGAAACCACTTAGGGAACAGTTGTCGGTTTACGAAGGGTCAAGAAGAAAGGACGGCTGGGCCCGGGCACTCGAATGTTTCTGACCCTCCTGGAGGGTGTGGTTGTCCCGTGCATTTCTGCTGCTGCTGCGTTTTCAGCTGACTTCCACGTGCTCCCTACGACGACTTCCTTTCCCTTCTTAGCAGAAATGGAAATGTCCAAGCAGCGGCCAGGACACCAGCTGATACAGGTCTAATTTCCTTCTGCAGAAAAAGGAACAAATGGTCTTACCTGACCTCCTTTTGAAAGGCCAGGAACGCTGAGGAAAGGGCAGGAAGTACAGTGCATTCACCTTTGAGTCATTTGAGGTCACCTGCTCTCTCATGGTATTTCGTTTCATAGTCGTGATGTCTCTGGGATGTGGAAAGCCCTGTCACAAAGATTTTTCCCCCATACTTTTATTGAGAAACAAATAGCAATGAGACAATTTCAAACCAAATTGCTAGGACAATTTCAATAATTAACACATTGCATACATTCTTCCTAGTGGTTGACTGCTGTACAAGATGCAGACATGATATCCTATTTACAAACACCATTAGAACAAATCCCTCTATTCATTAAGAGAATGTAACTATATATCTATCCTAACCACTTTCAATGCACAGATACAAAATAGACATTCATCTGTATCCCCTTTTTTTGTTGTTCCATTATTTGAATATTATAGGTGTGTTAACTCAGCAAAATATCCTAAAAGAGTCCAGTAGCCCATAATAGTATTGGGTCTCCTGCTTCACTGGCAATGTCAGAAATTGTTGACCTGAGTCCCCTACAGCTCAACATAACAGCATGGCTTTACTTCTTATATTTCGTTTTTATACTTTTCTGCTCTATGGTTAAGACCAAGGTAAAGCAGGACCTATGCAACAAGTGTTGTAGCTTTTGGGTCTGATAAGGTCAGTGAAATCCTCTCAGGATTTATCCTGAGATCCTGTACCTCAGATTGTAGATCCTTTGTCAGTGTCAGCCATGTGGATGAGTCACGGCCATTGCTTGGCCAAAGTGCTTTCTGTGAAAGTCTGAGACAATGTTTTCCATGTGTCACAAAGATTTTTAAGAGTACTATAAAACTACCGTGAAATGAATTACAACAATATGTGTAGAAAGATTCTCAGGTGATGGTGCTCAGTGAGAGTGAAAACTCTGTTCAAGATTTGAGCCCATGTGGGCACAGGGGTATCGCACTCCACTAAGACATCTTCTCCCTAAACCAGTAGTTTTTGTGCGTCAGGCATTAAACCGCAATCCACTATAGTGGAGGCATACACTTTGAGGATATAACATTTAGTGGCAGCAGAACTTTTCTAAAAGGGAATTAAAATTCGATAATGGGCCTCAAAACCCAAACAAAGGGAGGTGGGAATAAAACTGTCACAGATCAGGAGACAAAGAAATGGCTACCATTTTTAATTTCCATATATAGAAGAAGCCCAGGAGAAAGAATATATGTAAGGTCTAAAGATGGATGAGGATAAATGTGATTTCAGATTGTTTGCACTTTGGGTTATTCCCAAAGTAGTAATAAGTAACTAAGTAACTAAATAAAACAATGCAAAGCATGTAAATAACCTAAGGATAAGAGAGGGGAACTTGGCTCCGGTTCCCCTTTCCCAGACTTATGTTTCCCAGAAGTACACTGAAAGGTCACGAGTCTCAACAGCTGGTGTGATGTGAGATGTCACAGAGAACAGAAAAGCTTGAAACAGTAGGTTCAATATTCTTTTATACCTCTCCGAGCAGGTCAGTAAAAGAAATAACCTGTGTATTACAAGCTTTTTCTACAGGAACCATTGCTCTCAGTGTCCTTGTGTGTGTGTCCCTCGGTGAACATGTGCAAGAGTTTTCCGAGGTATGTATTCAGGAGCAAATTATTGGTCATAAGGGATGAACTAGTTCAACTCTAAATGGTTTTCCAAAACATTACTCCAATGTGCACTCCAAACAATGATTAAATAAAATTTCCATAGCTGTACATCCATGCAAAAATCTTTGCCAATCATGTAGATGTGACCTCTCCTTGCAGAATTAATTTGTAATTCTGAGTTTACTAATGAGACTGGCTATCTTTTCACAAGTGTATTGACCATTATTGTTTCCTTTTCTATGAAATGTCCCTTTATCTCTTTTGCCCTTTTTTTCTCTTTGGGTTGTTAGGGTTTATTTTCCCCCCTCTCCTCACTAATTTATAGGGGTGTTTTATGTTTCTGGAACCTTTGTTGGTCAAATACCTAACAAATATTTCTTCTCTGTTCATGATTTCTCCTTTGTTACCTTTAATATGAGTTTACATTTTTATATATTGACTTTGTAGTTTTAAAGAAAGTCTGTTATACATTCCTCAGTTGATGGGCATTTGGGTTGTTTCCGACATTGAGCTATGACAATTTGGGGTGCTGTAAACATGGGTGCACATATATTGCTGTGGTTTGGTGTTTTCAGTCCTTCTGGAAAAATATCCTAGAGAGGAATTGCTAGATTGAATGGGACCTCTAACGCTAGTTTTTTGAAGAAACTCTACACTGATTTCCTCAGTGGTTGACTATTCTACATTCCCACCAACAGAGGAGAAGAATTCCCCCCAAACAGTCCCTCCAGCATTTATTATTGGTTAACTTCTTCATGACAGCCATTCTTTCTGAGGTGAGATGGAATCTCAGTGTTGTTTTAATTTACATTTCTCAAATGATCAATGATATTGCACATTTTGTCATATATTTATTTGCTATTTGTAGTCCTTCATCAATGAAGTGTATATTCATCTCAGATGCCCATTTTTGGATTGGGTCTTTGAATTTGAGGTCTTAATTTTTTAAATTCTTTATATGTTCTAGACAGATGTCCTTTTGATGAATGTGGTATTTTTATACAATGGAATAGTACTCAGCAATAAAGAAAGATAAACTTGAGACTTTTATAGGTAAATGAATGCAGCTAGAGACCATACTTGTAAGTCAAGTCAATCAGACCATACTCATAAGTCAAATAAATCAAACCAATGTTTATAATATGTAAACATTGTATTGTATCCCTAGTATAAGAACCTGAGAGAGTAAATAAAATCTGAAAGGTACAATAGATATTGTGAAAAGGAAAGAAACTGCTCAAAAGGAAAGAACAGCTGGAATGAGGGAAAGGAAAAAAGAAAGAAGAGAGTATACATATCTTAGCTGAGATAATTATACTACTAATTTCCATTGGTTTATTAAAAGGAACAATTAATACTGAATATTTTGACCAAATTTGTGTACTTATATCTGACAGCTACTTTGAAGACAACAATATGTGATATCACAACAATTGTTAAATTCATATCATTTTATTTTTTGAAATTCTATATTGTTTTTCTTTTTTTATTCTTTTTTACTCTCTTTAGAATAAAAAAAGACAAAGCCTTTCAGAGTTGTGGGTCTTGGTGTGGAAGGCTTACCTGAGGAGTGTTGCCAACAACATAAAAGGATAGCTGGAAGGGAAGATGGTGCACTGTTGATTCTCCTGGAGAAGATTGTTGAAATGGTTGCTTTGATATGAACTCAGCTGTGCTCATCATTGGAGGAGCTGGGGTCCTCATTGTCCTCTAGGATGACAAGAAAAAGAGACCTTGACAAAGAAAACATCAAATACAAAGGGCCTGAGGTAGAAACAAGCCAGAAAGATTCAAGCGGTGTTATGGTTTGAGTCTAGTTGTCCCCTCAAAGCCTCATGTAAGTTATGGGCCAGATGAGGCTGGAGGAGCAATGAGTGGCTTGAGGGACAGGGCCAGAGGACCAGGGAGGGGCCCAAGGAGCAGGGCCAGAGAGATGTGAACTGTTAAACTGTCTAGCCTGTGCCTTCGCAGAGATGTGGAGAGGGTCATCCTGGACACGGCAGCGCCCCAGTCTCTCCTCCAGTGTCTTGAAACTTCAAGTAACTGTGAGCTAAATAAACCTTCCCTTCCCTCATCTTGAATGTTGGATATTTGTTCCAGCAATGAGAGAAGAGTAACTAATACAAGCAGCAAGAAGAAGTCATTGTGGCTTGCACTGAACAAGAGAAGGGAATGTGGAACAGAGCTAAAGTTAGAGAAGTAGGCAGGGCAGCTCCCTGGTGACTGATGGGCCCTACAGGCCATGATAAACAATTCAGTTTTTTTCCTAAGTGAAATGTAAAGGGAGGATTTTAAGTAGAGAAGTGAGAGTATCTGGTTTGTACTTGAAAAAGGTCACTTTGACTTCCGTTGAGAGTAGGCTTTCAGGACCTCAGGAGAAACAGGGAAAGCAGGTGAGAGGATGATCAGTGGACAAGTCCATATCAAGGCCCTAGGGAGGAATGAAGTTAATACTGTAACATAGATGAAGCTTGAGAACACTCATCTAAGTAAAAGGAGCAGAACCTAAGGGCCACATGTGACATAATTCCATGTATAAATAAAGTGCAGGCTGAGCAACTAAGTAGAAGAAATAGGTTGGGATTCTCAGGGGGAGTAAAGAGTGAATGTAATTATTATGGTGGTTTCCTGTTGGGAGTTTGAAATTTCTGGACTGCATAATGATGATGATCTCTCAGTCTTATGAATGAGTGC